AACCCTCGACCTCCCGCACAACAGTTCAGCGCTCTATCCATTGAGCTAACCGGGAGGCGGTCTTTATCATGTATTCATACATTAGTGTAGGGTATCAATCCGTATTCAGAGTTAAAAAGAGGTAAGCTATATCGTTTTTTATCTTCTGGACCGGATGCGCCCTTTTTTTTCAGTTGAGTTAAAAACAATTACTACAAAAATGGTTTAAGGTGCGAATTTTAATGAGTCATATTCCTGCGAGAGGTTGTTTTCGGCAAAACGCGTTCATTGGAAACACTCTAACACCTGAATGATACTGAATCAAATTAACCATTTGTATAAAGACTTAGACTTAATACTTTCAGAGGCTATCTAGGCTTTTCATGGTTGAGGATTTGTTTTGGCTTCTTCTACGTCAGTAAGATAAGCTTATGTCTTTAAAATCTCCTTAACACATTTCCGAGTGCCATCTTGAATAAACAGGTAGTTTGAGAGATTAAGGTGTGGTGAACGGCTTTGTTATTTTTTATTTTTCCCAAAACACCGACTGAGGAGGCCATAAAATTTTTATCTTTCGATTCATAAGGGTCAGTCGTATCACCCATGCGCGATATCAATCACTAACATGTTAAGCTTGAACAGGAAAAGGAAGACACTGAGTTTACGATATCATTTTAAGAAAGCTGCTAAGTTTTCGCAGCATGAATGTGCTTGTAGCTTAAGCTTAGAACGGAGAACTTAAGGGTAAGTATAGAACGGCCTACATTTCTGTTAGAGCTTTAAAAGAAGTGAACTTTGTAAGCATCTGGTTTCTGAAGGTAAAGTTTTTACGTTCGTGCTGTTTGCTTGGCGCCGTTGGTGCACTAAAGGGAAAATATTTTAAAACGTTTTGCCTTAATGGTGGAAAAAAAGGATTTTTTGGTAATTTTCTTCTGGGTTCATTCATGGACTATATAACTAGTACTAAGACTCGTCCAGCCCTTGGTGATCGTTCATTCCAGTCAGCTGCACCTTATCCTAAGTGTTATATCTCATGAATCATTCATGTAGTCAGCGCATGCTCAGTTGAGCGCTCTTTGCCATGTGTTTCACTCGGTTCAACATGTTGAATTAAATCGTTGAGTTCTACAGTATCGTTTACACGTTTCCTCCGGTTATTCGAACCCCTCGACATTACACTTGGATTGTATTACCTTCGACAATTCGCAACATGAAGACACTGGAGACTTTCAAGACTACTGTTAAAACTCTTTTTTTTAATTTAGCCTCCAAATAAATTTTTTTATGTCTTATCTTTTAACTATTTTAATGACTAGGCTATTGCTGCCTTTGATTTTATATGGATTTGTAGTATTTTATAGTTTCTTATGTTTTTAGTTGCTTTTAACATAATTATATTTTGACAATATTGTAAAGAGCAACTGAATATAATTTGAATATATCAACAAAGTTGAAATGGTAAATTGGCCACCGTTACGATTATAAAAGCTGACGTTTCGAGCGTTAGCCCTTCGTCGGAGCGAATAGGGGAATTGTGGGTTGTGTGTGCTTTTAAAGGCAGAAAAAGGAGCTACGTGATTGGTGGGAAAAGAACTGAATATAGCCATGTAGAAGTCTGGGCTATATAAATGTTATTATTATTATTATTATTATAATTATTATTATTATTATTATCCCTATTATTAAAACCTCTTTGGTTCGAGTGTCTCGTGTATTTGCAGTATTTCTCTCATCATTTGAAATTTACTTTTTCTTCTTCTTCTTAACCCTTTTAATTACATCTTCACATTCGTGTGCTCATTCTCCATATTGTTCTCCATAAATTTCGTTAGGCACTGACAAGGAGAATTTGCTTCTTTAGCTGGTGATCACATCCTTTATTCTCCCAAATGTGTGATTCAGAGTTGATATTGTAAGGAGAAATAAGATGCAGTCACTTTTAGGGGGCAAGAGTAGTAAATTATCTGCTGAGTTATATTTTGCCTTTACCTTTGCCTCTTTATTTTGTAGAAGTGAAGTATAACTCAGTTATTCATTTACTATTAAAGTTAAATTTTTACCAACAGAAGGCAAAAACCTGAAGATTCGTGTGCTTACGTATTCTACAAATATTGTTCAGATTTTTCAGGTCACATGCTTGTTTCTAAGATATACTCTTTTATCACGCTTTTCAAACAATCACAGGGAGAAAAATATTATTTACTTTGGAAAATAGATCTGACAGTGTGGACAATTCATATGGCACTACATGACATGAGCTTCCTAAATAAATTAACAACCTTGACATAACCTGCGGTGGTACCTGATTTTCGACTCTTTATCTCAGCGGAAGCAGTTGGTCATACAGCATTGCCGTACCATCCTGCATCCTTAAATTCATTGCAACTCGGAACCAAATTAGTGGTTACAGCTTTATCAAATTACAGCTTCATCAGACATCGACTTATTTCAAAGATTAAGCAAAACGTAATATATGTGTTTCTTGAATCTATTGCCAAAGTATTGTAAAAGTCTTTCCAAGGCTGCAAAGTAATGCAGTGAAGTATAACGTATAGTTTTTTCCTTGCCATGAACGAAATCAATGTACCATATTATTCATTATTATCTATCAAACAAGGACAGAGACAGTAACATTAAATGTAAAGAAGTCATTTGATCATACGTCTTTGCAACACAAAAAATAACCTTCCTTGTCTTAAATGATAAGACAAAGCTGGACATGGAAAAAAATCGAGCTGATTATGTTTACCTTGATACCTTGGATTATGGATTGGTAAATATCCCCTCTGACTCTAGATCACTTCCTACAATCAACTTTGTAAAAGGATATCTTCTGAAGATATAGCATTTTATCAAAGATCGTTTCTTTAATTAATGGCTTTCAGGGATAAAGCTTGTCAGAATTAAAAGGAAATTTGAAATCTTACGTCCGGCGTGAACTAACAATGACAGCCAAGTGATGGGTATGTCACTTTGCATCCTGGCGTAAAAATTTTTTTTGTCCCTAACATCTCGCCTTAACATCTTCCGCTAATCGCTATTAGTGACGTTTTTTTAATTATCATTATTCTTTCATGATTCTCTAAGACAAAAAATGATTTTAAAAGTCTTTTGTTTTCTAAGTTAAAATTCAAATGATGAAAGGGTCCTTTTAAACTGCATGAACATGGATATTACTTGTCAAAAACATGATGTGCATCTGTTTTAAAAAGGCTTTTTCGGGTGAAAGGAAAGATTGATGCATTGATGGTGTTTGGTTGAAAATAATATCGGTGATTTATCAAAAGCTGTGACTGATTTCATTATAAACCATTTTAACAGGATCTTTTCAAAGAAAGTACTTCAGCTAACCAAATTTTCTTGTTCGACCTCCTACCTTGCATGTAAGTAACAAATTGTTTTTATCCCTTTTTGTTTGAATTCAGGTACTCTGTTCAATTAGTTTTACCATTGCAAATTTTATGTAATTTCAAAGCAACAAACCGTGAGGCGCTCAGCTTGTGTTTTTTCCGTTTGGTATATGCACTGCATGTTCTTTTTTATTTCTTAAACACATTTATACAGAGAAACGCTTTCGCATTATCGCAGTACAAACTGTGACTGCATTGTGCCGGTCAGTGCATTAAGGAGCTAATGTTCAATGAAGTCTAAATCCAGTGTTCTTGTATTTTAGGTTAGGTAGGCAGTGCTTGCCCTCCATGTGGCTAGAAATTAATACGGTTGTCAATGGTTAGATAATAAGATTGACAATCAATTGTGTAGACAAATATGAATGACTGAACTAAGATTTAGAAAAGACAACTCTGTTAAAACAAGCATTATAGAACTGAGATTTATGTACCTTTATCTGTATTAAGACTTGATAAACAACCTATCTCGAAATGGGTTTTAATAAGGTTCGAGGAAAACTGTTCAGAAGGGCACTTAATAATCTACCGGCCCTTAACAATCGCTCACTTGGAAACATCTGCCGTCATACCGCAGCGGCTTAAAAAAAGGCGTGAGCTCCTCAAAAGAAACTAAACGTAACTTGCGATCAGGCAAAAATACTGATAGTCCATGCTGAGAGAGGATATCCTCTCTTCTCCTTGCCTATATGCTAAATAAAGAAATCTTTCGACAATAAAGATTTTACCAAAATCAAATAGATGTCTTTTGTTGTTGTTGTTGTTGCCGTGGTTATTTTGTTGTTGTTATTATTGGTGTTGCTTTTTTTTTTTGCGCATGTTACCAATGAAATTTCATGGCTAACAAGTTTGCATCCTCTAAACGCATATCGTCTTTCTGAAAATACATACTAACAAATCACGAGAAATGCTAACAAAGCACAAGAAAAAAATAAAATCAGTGTAATTCAAAGTGTATTATGATGATTGGGTTTTATCCCTTGATGGCCAATATTTGAAGTAATCATAGATAAAGGCGGTGAAGACTTAAATATTGCATTGAAGGTTCATTGATGACTATGACGTAATGTTTATTTTATCTGAACTCACAACTCTGCCTTTAATGAAATCCCGTGTCATGTCATAGCTCTTTCGGTTTCTTGGACAGGCGGGGTTTGCTGTTTGTTTTAACTTTAAAAGAGGTCTCCTTATGTTTCCCTAAATTGTAAAATAATGAAACTTTTTCTGACTCGAGAACCTTTCTTGTATGACTAGCTGTGACAAATAATTGAAGATCTAGGCAAACAAACACGAAGTACATGACAACATCTCTTAAGGTGTCTTCTAAAAGCCGATGTTTCATTGTACATGACTTGAAAATGTTTCCAAGCCAAAAAAGAACCGAATGTCGAAAAAGACGCTAAACGTATTTGATATGTATTTTCACACTACTGCAAAACGATAAATAATTCATGCTAGTATTTTTATTAATTCGTTTATTTTCTGCCTTATGCTGAAAATGAAGTTTGCATTCAAATAAAGAATTTAAATAGTTTTAAGCATATTATGCTCCCACGATAAAATTCTATTTTATTTCAAATTACAATTTTGATTGATAGCATTTTTCATTTTATCACAACTGAGTCGTGATATAAATAAAGGGAATCAAATTAATTGCATTTTCATTTCATCTGGGATATTGGCTGGTACTGTGGCTTTCACGTGCTTGGAAAAGTACTGTCGTAATTACATTTTTGAATAAGATCTATGCTTAATGCTCCTATGTCGCAATGCGTAAGGCAATCACATGCATACGATGGACAATTTGACGCATTACGAAAACTCTCGCAAGCTTGACTACGCACTCGATTCCCATAACACGCTCCTACTCACGTCATTCTGTTTCTTTCTAAGAGGGGCAGAAAGAACCAAACATTACTCATTGCCATAGTGTGGAGAGGGAAAATTTGGAGGACTTTTTAGGGCGAATGGAGGGGGAATCAGTCGACGCTAGCAAATTATAAATGGGGGACTAAAGTAAATTGACTTCAGTAAGGGGGAGGATCGTTAGAAGACTACAGCCTAAGAGGGGATCAGTTAAATTTTGTTATAACACCACCTAATTCTTTCTACCCCTCCCATCCCGCTTCCGTGATAGTTAAAGACTGGTCCCTGATGTGTGATGAACCGATCGTAAAACCTGAAAATTTGCCACAAAGCCACAATTTGAGGCTGAGCGAAACGAATTCAAGAGCTAAGTTGTTTTGTTCACTGTCATGTATTTTAATCGTGACAGTGGGGATTAACATGAAAATGGATTTTGACATTTCCACTTATTTATTCTTTCAAGCAGAACTTACTGCGCCGACCTGATTGCAATTTTCTCTGTCGTCTTGCCGAGTCGACAGCTCCTCCTAAGTTCAAAAGATGGACACGCTAAGGAACAACAGCTCTGTTGCTAACATAACAATAGAAACGCAAGAGCCTGATAACTTTGACCAGGGTGCAAGTATCAGGAGATTGATAGCGACTATAGCGTTTTGGTTGATCATCACTGTTGGTATTATGGGTAACTGTCTGGTAATTGTCGTTGTGAAGACACTTAGCAGCATGCGAACAACCACTAACTACCTCTTGGTTAGCATGGCTGTGGCAGACTTCAACACTCTGCTTTTTTCAGCAGTCTTATTTTTAATTTTGACCACAAATACCCCGATTCGTTCTAGATCACTAGCAGCGTTTCTTTGCAAATTTATCCTCACCAATACTGTTTCAATCGTCACGCTTCTCGTAACAGCCTTGACGCTGACAATGCTGGCTATTGAAAGATATCACGCTCTGGTGAATCCGCTGACTCTGTCTGAAAGACTAAACATGGACAACATTGTTTACGTAATAGCTGGAATCTGGTTGCTTGCCATAGCGTTAGGAACTCCCGTCTTTGCAGCTTTCGACTGGGATTCATATATGCGTTATTGCTCTCTTGGTGAAGCAGAGCGTACAATGATGATCTATGTCGATTTCCTCATCGTGATCCTCACGTTGATTCCATTTGCAGTGATAGCATTTTGTTAATCAAAGATCGTCTATGGCATGTACTTTAAAAACACAGTTTTGGGGAGAAACAGTTAAAGATGTGAGACGCGGGAAGAAACGATTAAGAAAAGAAGATTAGTCACACTGCCTATTTTGCTGACTGTAGTGTTATACATAGCTTTTATTCCGTATGTACTGCTGCTTATCTTGAAAGTGAGTAAAGTGAACCACACATATGAGCACCTTCAAATTGGTTCTCAGTATCTTACACTTCTAAATTGTTCCATAAATCCTTTTATCTATGCTTTTCAAAGCTCGAGTTATCGACGTGCTTTTAAGGTCATTATCAAGAAAATGTTATGTCGTGATGTTAGCTATGAACTGTCAGAACTGCTTGAAATGCGCACGCGAACGTTTGTATTCGAAGCATGTGACGCGTTTGAAGTGTGTGATAAGTTGTTTCGGTTTTGAATGAAATTTAAGAACTATCGAAATTTGTTTGTTTGTTTGTTTATCCGCAAATATCTCAAGTGATTTCAATCCGTTATCAGACTGAGACGCTTCTCGTTTTAGGAACTAATTTAGCTCTTTATTACATCCATTTTGAAATCACTGGTGGTCCCTGTAATCTGATTGGCTCTATTTGGTGCGATTTATTCCCTAATCGCACCGATTTTTTGCTCTAAATCGCATCATTTTACACTTGACTGAGTTTTTGACACATGATGTCGAAGTCTTTCTGTTCTGCATACAAAATAATATGTAAAAGCGTTTTGCGGTTCCACTTTTTATTTAAAATTAAAACCCTCTCAGTACGGCATCACTTAAATATTTCAATTGACCAAATCCTGTATTTGGGCGATTTCAAAATAGATGTAATAAAGTGGTAATTGAACCTCGTGTCGTGCAATTTTGGTCTGAAATCATACTTGTGATTTCAAATCGAACTCGCGCTGCTCGTTCAAATTGCACTCCACTCAGTTCAATTACCATTATAAATTAATTAGCCATAAAGATCAAAAACATTTAAGTCCAATTCGGGTAGCTTTGACGGTTAACACTTAATTTGCTAGGCCTTTGACGTTTGACGTTTATTAGATAATTGTCGATGAGCTAAAATTTATAGTAAGCCGATTGGCCAATAACACTATCCGATTACTAATCTACTGACTGATTTGTGAAAATAAAGCAGATAATGTACCAATCACATTTGAAGAAATTGCACTGGTTATCATTATCACTTATATATCTTGCGCACTTCTAATATTCTCGTTCATTTCATTGTTACCCCAGTATCTCGTAGACTTTTAGCATTCTCTTTTATTCGATTGTTACGTTAGTATTTCAAGCACTTTACGGACTTTAGGACACTCTGGCCCTCGCTCATAAATTACATTGGAGAATTCAAATCTTTGAAGGTGATTTTTCAGAAAAAAAATTCATTGAAGGTTTTTTTAACTTTCCATAATTTTTTCCCATCAATGTCTGTTTGCAAAACTACAGTAAAATCTGAGATTGGACTCGGTGCCTACTGAAGAGATATGATGGGCCAATCTTACCCCATTTATGCCTGTACTGGTACTATTTCACGCGCGTTATTTTATCGATTCACGGTAAATTTTGCGATAGCTGAAGCAAGAGCTTTCAAAAATAAAACTAAAAATAAATCATGATGGGTAGAAATTATCGAGCGAATGGAATCATGTAGTATATAATTTTTGGAAAAATAACATTATTTTTAACGAAATCGGATCAAAACATTCCTCACGTCGTTGCTTTCAAGGTCATAATTTGCATCCTCGAGCAAACGGCTCCTTACTCTCTTAGAGTTGTATTTTTTCCCTTACCATAAATATTCTTTTAACTTCTCGAATTCAAGGAGATGATTTATATACCAAAATTATGCAACTAAAAATACAGGTCAACGTTTTCGGTTCACAGCAAAATACCATCGTACCTCTTTACCTCGCCCATTGATTCAAGAGAGATGCGACGTTCTTGGAATGTGCGCGCGCATATTTGCCTAATTACTGAGGAGTCGCCTAAAGCTTTCTTTGTAAGAAAAGGGTATGGCTAACTACTAAGTAAATAACATTTTCAAGTAGTCGTTTGAAGAATCAGATTTTGAATCAACTCTCCAGCTGAAAAATACGATTGTCTTAAAAAGAAATAACTAGAGGGTTTGCATATGAAGTAAATGTAAAATGCGTAAGCAGGGTTTACCTAAATATTTATCAAGATTTTTGCGGTATTCCCCTTCCTCACTGGATGGCTGGATGCACGGCCTGAGTTCTTATCCTAAATACGAGCTTCCTCATTTCTTTTTGTCTCCAGCAGTAGATTAGTGGATTAACCAGCGAGTTCAACATTACACAGGTTTGCCAGAGTGTTTCTTTGAAGGGGAAAATATCATAAATACCTGTAGCTAATGTGAGGAAACAGAAACTAACTGGAAGAACGCAAACAACGATAACACCAACTACAAAGACAGTTGTCTTAAAAGTCTTGTTCTCTTTCTTGAATCTTTTCACCTCTTCTTGGGGCAATAGATTTCTCTTATCTTCTTTTGATGGCGACGGGTTTCGTGATACAAAATCGCATAAACTGATGCAACGAACAAGAAACATGGAATTGTGATAAGACTTCCTATATGATTTAGTATTCGAAGATGAATTTTGAACGCATTTATAGTCCCGCATATGAAGGCAGTGATCCAAATTGCTACCACTGCTATCTTCAGGTTATTATCAGTTATAAAGTTTGAGTATTGCATGGTAAATTTGATGGCCATTAACCTCTCGAAAGTAACCAACATCAAATGAAGCCACGAGGCAGCCGCAACTGTAGCCATAACATTTTGATGTAAATTTTCAACTGTTTCACTTCTACTGATGTCAGTTATAAGTAATATCGTCCACAAAACAAACGACGTTTGGCCAAAGAGACCGGTTTATGCGTCAGTCACCGCTAAACAGACCAACAAGATGTTGCTGTTGGTTCGCAGCTGTCGAGGTCTAGTTTTCACGGCTCTTATCACTAGCACGTTAAGTAGAACTGTAAAGGGAGAAGCGATGCTGTTGATGATGATAGAGATAACATAACTAACCTCCAGTGAGACGTGTGTTTTATCGCCCTCGTTGCTATTCATCTTTGTAGAGTTCGGAAATTGATTTTGGAGAAGTTTGATATGTTGAGTTCAGATCAACTGAACCTTTCAGATCAATTTTTTTGGATTTTAGGTGCTTTTTTGCCGGCTAAGACTCTGACCCGTTTTATTTAAGTGTGCATTTGTTTCCGCTCGACGTTTTCTCAAGCATGAATTGCAGTGGTTTCTAAATGTGAAAATACTGCCGTTGTTAATTTTATTGGCCATGACTCCCAAAAGTTTCTAATTGTATACATAAAAAAAAATCTTCACCTTTTTGGCCATGATGATTTTAATGCCCAATAAAGATCTATTCAGTCTCATGGACCGACCCTTTAAAGTTTACCTTCTTTCGAGCGATTTGATGGAAAACCACTTTTGTTTTCAAGTGTTATCACTTGTCTTTTTCTCGTACGTGATTTGCAGCGAGTCTTAATTGTACAATTAAAGGAGTGGTCAATTTTCTTGGAAATCACAAAATATATGTGTAGTTAGGCTAGAAGAAAAGTTAAGTAACCAAAAAACAGGGGGAGTTGGAATGGGCGAACACAGTGAGAATTTTCACTGCGTACGAACAACAATCTGACATAATTTGGTAAACTGAGGCTGGCAAAGTCAGCTACATTAGCATCAACTGGAATTAATTGAGTGAATGCCAACCTGATATATGTAGTCCATTTTTTTTAGTTCGAGTGTTATCTATAAATGCTACCTTTTGAAATGGTCAACTAGGTATTGAATTCAAAAATATCTGTCAAATAAATTGACCGTTTTGGAACTGCGTCCAGCATTTAATTGCATTTTTTCGTTAGTTCATACCTTTCTTTTACCTTCGGCACCCGTCAAAGTTTTTTTTTTTTTTTTTTTTTTTTTTTTTTCAAATCTCAGTCGAAATGCGCACTAGGCTCTTAAGAGCGATTATAATTATGGCAGTTGCCTGGCTGCCAGTCGATTAGAAAGTAAGATTACCCGAGCATAAAAGATAATTCGAAAGTCTTGTCATTGTTGTAAATGTTTTGGTGAAATCATACAAAGATTTCAATTAAAAAATGGGAAATTCTTCTTTTGTTAGTTTTCCCATACCACGTTTTAAATTTTAATAGACAAGCAATGCTGTTGATAATGATAACGACAGTGTAACTTAAATCCAGTGGAGCATTTGTCCCGTCGCCTCCTGTAACATGCGTCTTTTTAGCGTTAGCTGAGCTCGGAGAAGTTTGATAAGTTGAGCTGGATGCCGAACGAAGATTAAGCGAACCTTCTAGATCAATGCCTGCGTGAGATCTTAGCGGTTTTTTAGGAAGTTTTGATATACGTGCTCGACTCTGCATGTGTTTCCCCTTGACTCTTTCTCGCGCATGAATCGCAGTAATTCATATTTGTCTAATCGACAATGTTGTTGTTGCTGTTTTAAATAAAACCACATAATATTACATAATTTAGGTTAGACTATAAAAAAGAAAAATTGCTAAGAGTGGTGATGGAGAAGATTGATAATGATTTCAAACATATATTTTCCAAATTTAGGCCAGCAAGATGATGCCATTTGCACGAATCTCGGGGATAAATAATCAACATTTTCGTTGGTATTACGACGAGAACCCACAGAGAAGGTCAATTTTAGGAGTCTAAGAATAAACTGAATCTCCTAGAGTAACTACCAGGTATCTGTTTACAAGTTTGAGTTTTATCTATCAACTTTTCCTTGCCGATTGATTTGCTCTTTAGTTCATTCAAGTAGTCATTAAATCCAACTACTTGTGTGACTATTTTTATAAATTAAACTTGTTTGACCTCCTCGTGTTACTTTTTCTGTGTTCTGATTGGCCCCGTGGTAACCATGGCTTAAAGGCCCTTTGACGGCTGAGTATCAATTCCCATTAAGACCCTCATTTACAGCTTCCACGTTGAAAATGGATCGAAGATCTGAGATTTTTGCCCATGGCATTTCATAAAGATTAAATTAGCTGCGTTACGATTATAAGACAAAGAGGAAAAATTTTTTAATGGTGAAGTCATCTATGCGTTTGCCTTCTAAAAGATCATGAGTAAGAACCAATCAAAACACGCGAATAATTCAGCTTATAAAATGATGGTAAGTACACGACGGCTATGGATTTCTTACAGATTTTTAATAATTGATCACTCAGTGATATCAGGGAATGTCATAGAATCCTAAAATAGGGAGGATATTTTCCAAATACGTGTAGCTTTTTTTTTACAATAAATGGTCAAGAACAAAGTGATTGCATTCTGATCTTCCAAAGTTTACGTGGATTCCGTTAGAATCACATAATTTTCTGTTCTTAACTGCAGTCAGGATTAC